GACTGCTGAGGCATCCTTCCGGTGGTCCAAATCTCTGGAATGTCTAGCGGTTGGCTGCGCCGCAATGATATTTATCACATATTAAAAGGAGAAAATGCTCAGATATCAAGAACAATAAAAATTCGATAAAATATGGCAATTTTTTAAGCAAAAAAACTTTGATGGGTGGGGGTGGGTTTCGAATTTATTTTCAACGTTCTCGGAATTCCACACTCTTCTATTTTTAATATGTGATAGCTAGAATCCCAAGGTACATTCCGTGCAAATTTGAAGGCAATCGGACCAAGGGAACGTTGCCTGGGCCGAGCAAATCAACCCCGGTCGCGAAAATTTGCTCATTCTTCAACGTTATTATAATATTGTATTATGACCGCCATCTTAGATCCATCTGGGTCCCCGATCCACCGTCACCTACCAAACCACTCCGAAATATACCCAAAATCGACCTTAATTTCTTTTGACTTCGCGCATGCGCCATGACTACCAAATTCCGGCGAGGAACTATTCACGTTGGTACCTAGGTGCCCTGAAAAATTCAAGGCCATACCTGCATTCGTTCAGGTTGTTTGTTCTTCACACGGTTCCTATCGTTCGGCTTTTTCCACCATTTACGGCTTCAGTAAGTAAGTGCGAAAAAAGTGGAATTTCGCCACGACACCTGCACCGATTGTCCGAAAACCATGAAATTTGGACACAATACGCCCATTACCAGCCATGACTTAATTACTTCCATTTTGATCGGATTAAAAAAAAGAGTTTTAGCAAAAAAAAAAAGAAGATTTTCAGTCAACTGATGGTCTCCATTTGAAATTGAATATGAAGAACAGTGAAAAATCCACTTCAACAGACGTGAAAATAAACAAAATAGGCCGTAATATGTTCAATGCGTCTCTTATTTCTGAAATTAATGCATTTCAGGATAGCTCGGGATCAAGATTGATTTTTTGGTGTTTGAAAATTTTCAAAATTTCGTATTTCGCCTTTGACCTTTTATGTGCCGACAAAGTTGTTTGCAGGACAATTTATGCCTTTAATTTGACATAGCCAGAGACCAGGCACATAGCTGTGCTACTTTTGATTTTTGATTGTCGACAAATCTTCGTAGATATTAAGCGCCAAATTTCGAAAATTTAAAATTTTACCATTTTTTTTTTTTTATTTATGAATATTTTTATATTGCATATTACCCAGGGTTGAAGAGTTATCAAATTTGACTAAAAATGTCAACTTTTTGTTTGCAGGACAATTTATGCCTTTAATTTGACATAGCCAGAGACCAGGCACATAGCTGTGCTACTTTTGATTTTTGATTGTCAAAGAATCTTCGTAGATATTAAGCGCCAAATTTCGAAAATTTAAAATTTTACAATTTTTTTTTTTATTTATGAATATTTCTATATGGCATATTACCCAGGGTTGAAGAGTTATCCAATTTGACTAAAAATGTCAACTTTTTTTGTGTCCGTAATTTTCCTTGGCCACCATTGGCTAATTCAGTTTTTCAGTCCTCGATTAATTATTTATTATTCGATTTGTACAAAAGAAAGTTCATGTGCTGCATGGTTCAAAATGACATTTTTTTTGTTACCGGAAGTGACGTCAAATCAGCAAAAACTGCAATTTTGACAGATTTTGACAGTTAGGTACAACTTTTCGAAAGGAAATATTATTTTTTCAAAATTTGATATTACCAAAAGCATGCGCCATGCAAAGGGGCACAAATCATCGGACTCAGTTTTTTTAATTTTGATTTAGTTTTCGGGCCATTTAGATTAAAAGGCGAAAAAAAGTGTATTTACAACCCATCCACCGTCTTCATATTTCAAAATATTTCATCGTAACTTTCATAACCTCGTAGCAATAACCCATACAAAGAGAATGTATGTCAAAGTTAGTTTGTAATATCAGCAGTTGCCGAGAAATAGGCAATTTTTGCATGAGTCACATTTCGTGTTATTTTGCCTACAGTACAAGAATCAATTATTCAATTTTCCTTCACCATTTGATGCCTAATGCCACTTTTGACTAGATTTTACCATTTTAACACCTTTACTGTCGCCGGAAGTGACGTCATTTGGGCAAAAAATGAATTTTAGCCTTCAAAACCGATATTTTTCTCAAATGAGTCATATATGTTATTTGTTGAAAAGTATGATATTTAATTTCAATCAACAAACAGAATGAACCCATACGGCCATACAGATACCACAAAATGGGTTCTAACTTGTAAGGTTGCAGAGAAATAGACGATTTTCTACTAGTCACTTTTCAAGGTTTTTGGTCTATAACAGTGTCAATTATTATTCGATTTTCATAAAATCTTCACCATGTGATACCTTATGCCATTTCTGATTTCATAAAACTAATTTAACATTTAACATTACGGAAGTAATGCAATTTTAGCAAAAACTGTATTTTTAGCCAACAAAACAAATATTTATTTAGTATTCATTTAACATTATGATATTTCATTCCAATGGAAATATAGATTGGATCAATACGATCATAAATATGTCAAAAAATAGCTTCTAGCATCTTCTCTTGCAAAGAAATAACCAATTTCGTCAGGATCACTTTTTAAGACTTTTCGCATTTTTATTACAGTTTATGGGTTCTAAATTAATTATTTATTGCCTGATTTGTAATTGTATAAAACAAAAGCTCATATACTCCTTGGTGCAAATTCTCAACTTTTTTCTACCTATAATGTTTTCTGTCGGTACCGGAAGTGACGTAATTTTGCCTAAAATTTAAATTTTGACAGGTCGGGAGGTCTTTTTCCTAAGGAAAAATCTTAATTTCTACAAATCTTATCAATGAAGATGAATGCTCCTACTACAGGCGCAAAATATGTCGGCCTTAGTTTTGGGGTTTTTTTTATATCGGTTTTGTATTTGTGCCATTTTGATTTAAGGGTGAAAAAAAAGGAGTAAAAATCAGGTATTTACAACCCATTCATCGTCTTCATATTTTAAATTATTTCTACGCAATTTTCATAATTTTGTAGCATTAATCCATACGAGGACAATGTATGTCATAATTAAATTGTAATATGCGCAGTTGCCGAGAAATAGGCAATTTTGCATGCAACACTTTTCACGTTATTTTGAATGTAAGAGAGTCAATTATCGTTCGATTTTCAATTTTTGTTACCATGTGATGCCTCATGCCACCTTTAACTAGGCCAATCCAATTTAACATTTTCACTGAAAATGACGTCATTTGGCCAAAAAATGTATTTTTGCCCCCAAAACAGATATTTTATTCAAATGAGTCTGATTTGTAATGTTTTTAAAATTATGATATTTGATTCCAATCAACAAATAAAATGAACCCATACGACTATACAGATATCACAAAATGGTTTCTAACTTGTTTGGTTGCAGAGAAATAGACGATATTCTACAAGTCATTTTTCAAGGTTTTGGTCTATAAAAGTGTCTTATGCCATTTATAATTTCATAGAATTAATTTAACAATTTTATTACCACCGGAAGTATAAATGTAATTTTGGCAAAAACTGTATTATTAGCCTTCAAAACAATTGCTTTGAAGTGAGTTATATTTATCATTTGTTTAACATTATGATATTTGATTCCAATGGACATATATAGATTGGATCAATACGATCATATAGATGTCTAAAAATTCCTTCTAGCATCTTCCTTTGTCGAGAAATTTCCCATTAAAAAGTCAGCTAACTTAGCGGTAAGTTAGTAACAAATTTTGTCAGGATCACTTTTTTGACATTTGTAACACATGGTAACAAATGTATAAATGAAATTGATATTGCTGGGTAACTGGCACCGGAAGTGACATAAGTTCAAGGGTAACGTGGCACCAGAGAAACCTGTCATTACTGCATCGCAGTTCTAGTTATTATTATTATTACATGTATATGGGCTTTTAGCAGTAGGGGGAAGCTAGAGGACCCGGAGGAAACCCACGATGGTGGGCTTGTGGCCAGTGAAGTTGTCATGTACAACCTTGGGATCGAAATAACCTCATATGACCCAAAGTGCATGCATTATACCACTCGACCATCCACCTCGTCCTCTTGTCCAAATATGTTCCGTCTGTCACAATGGCTTTGTCCCGTCTGTCACACATGAAAACTCACCCCTGACAGTACATTTTCAACTTATTACTATCGTATCATCCTTGTCCCAGACATTTCTTAATTTATAGGAAACATGATATCATTATCACAAATTGGTTTAATTTTGATCTGAGATAGAATTTTTGTTTTGAATAAATCCTTTGAAAAATGGATGTAAATCAATGTCTCGTCTGTCACGCTCATTCTTTATGTAATGACATCTAGAGATTATTTTACTGAGAAAAGTTTCATATTTTATATGATACTATACGGTCTTTGCTAGGAAATACCATGTTTAAATTCCCTTCTATCCTTAGCATTTTGTGGAGAATGGGCTTGGCATTTTACTTGGTCAGCTTTCTGTCCCGTCTGTCACGCTGGAATTAGCCACCTGTAAAGTCCCCCAAAAGTAAAGGTAACCATCCAAACACCTGGTATATTGATGTCATTCACTCTGAAAGAAATCTCAGACGAAAAGCAGAAAGAAAATGTGTAAAAGCAGGTCTTGAAGTTGATAGACAACTATTCCAAACACAGTCCAAGAAGGTCAAAAAATTAATGTCGGATGCTAAGACAACTTTTTATAAAACAAAGAACATTTCAGAGACTTCTTTCATGACAAGTCAGTGATATCAGACGTACTCTTGACAATACTAGCAGTGGATTAACTTACAAGCACACAATGTGTGTCAAGCTGTTCCTTGGAACCCACTTGTGAGTAGGTAAAATGTCACCATTGGTCTGCCACGCCCAATCCACCATAAATGCATATTTCAGTAGCCTACGTACCTTCAGTAAAGGCACAAAATGGGTTTGATTTGAACACCCCTGATGTTACGGAATAGGCAAATAATGGCAAACGAATCATTATACCCACCGGCTAACTGCTTTATTTACTCACCGTCTATACAGTAGATTTGGAATTCCAACACTGCAACTTCCCTTGAGTTACACTCCATAAATACCCCAGCCGTAAGTTCGGGATAGGCCCAAAAGCCACATTTCCACGGGTTGACATCAAAACAAGCTTTTGAAAACTCTCGAAGGATACGGGATCTGGCTGTCTCAACACATACTTCATCTTCTTGGTCGAATATAGAATGGCAGCATGCCGGTTGACTTTCAAACGTAGAACATTCTGACATTCCTGAACAGTTTTGTGTCTTGCTGTTGAAATACCGATATCTATGGTAAGCACCTCTTGTGCTATCACGGCAATAAACATCGGATGTCATATTAATTGCAAGAATACATTTCTGGCAAACTCTTTCAACATCTGTATATCCTTTAAATAATCCTTGCGTTATGGGTACTCCTGCTTTTGAAGAATAATCCTCTACAAAAGATAAGAATGGTTTATTATGATACTTTCTTCATTGCATAATCAGGCCTGGCGCAGTATTGTTTGTCGCAAGTACTCCTTGCTCCAGGTTATTGCACGCAAGTAATTATGCGGTTAGATACAACGACGCTTGATTTTAACATAGAAGTGAGACCTCTAGTCGGGATAGAGTTTTTTCACTCTTTCCGTATGTCCTTTACCCATCAAATAATTCACTGCTATCAGTTATGACCAACTGAAACAAGCGGTTGCCATGCAAGATACGCCCATACTTTGCAGAAAATGTATGGAGAACAGGTAAAATCAACAGAGCTCACAGGGCTGGCTGGCGGAAGCAATTCCTGATTGTGGAGGGGGGGGGTCTACCATTTTTACATGGAAGTGACGAAGTGAGACTTCTAGACTTTTGTTGAGTTTCCCCAACAAATTCATGCATATTTCAAATTTTGCATAAAAAGCAGGGGCTATAGCTCTAGAATGTAAGGTCTAATGCTTACCAAAGTCGAACTCATCCAAGAACTTTTGATCCTTAACACATAGTTTAACTTTGATCTTATCAATTGGACAAAAATTGTCGCCTTGGGAGGTCTACAAACTTCATTCATATTTCCACTTCGTGTAAAAGGCAGGGGACCAATGCGCTCCAAATTTTAACTCATCCACGAAATAGTGATACTTGTTTTAATTTTCATCTAAATCGGATGCTTTTATACTATTTGTGTTAAGGGAAGCGGCCATTGGACACGAAAGTTTCGGTCGGATTTTCACGAAATTTGGACTCAACCATAATTATTATGTAACGGTGATATATTTCAACGGTTTTGAAAATAATATAAAAATTGGCGAACCCCAGAGGGTCAAGCTTAAAACGTGATATTTCGTACAATCAGGGGGTCATAATCCAGAAAGTTACGTTCCATTACGCGCCAATATCGAGATTTGCACTCAACCGTAATTAGAGTGTAACGAACGATGGTATATTTGAATGTTTTTTTACAAGGGTCGACAAGCTAAAAATATATATATATATATAGGAAGTGACGATCCTATATGGGCAAATATTTAAAGAAACAGAGATCTTTTGGTTATAAACATACATTGTCAGTTTGATCAGAGTGACCCCTACCCCACCAAAAAAAAAAACAAAAAGAAAACCCATAAAATTTTTATTAAAACCTACAAAGGTCCAACAAATTTATTGACATTTTGAAACTTCAGACTGTGTACGATCATTCGACAAAGTTTCAGTTATCTTGGTCGTTTTGCATACGGTTCTTTCCAAAATTTACTGAAATTTTCTGGACCTAAACTTCACTCTGTGTACGATCATTCGACAAAGTTTCGGTTATCTTGGTCGCTTCTATTAAAGCCGTTTCTTTCCAAAATATGCTCCAAATGACTTCCGCCGCGTTGGAGGAAAACTTGCATACATCGCGCAAAATTGTCAATTACTCGAACACATTCCTCTTTGGGGATTTGCCTGATTTTTGCTGTGATTGCTGCTTTCAAATCACCAATCGTTTGTAGGGTTTAAAGGACAATATTGGTCAGTCATTATCACATATGCGATAGAAATCGTTGAACACGTCCCAAATATTTTTAACACAGAGATCATTACTACGATAGATGCGTAATCAAGGTTTCAACAAAAGGAAGTTACGAACACAAAAGGAAAACGCGAGTTATCCTTCTATATAACTGACTGAAGTGACGAGTGATAACAGATACACGAGCAAATTTCTGCTCACTAGGAATTCCCTTCGAAGACCAAAATTTATTATATGAGACTGTGAGATGATATCTGACAATTCAAAAGATAGGTTGCCAGGCAACGAAACAAACACCCACAACAGCTAAATCGTCCGGGCAGTCAACGAGAGTTGTTGCATATTTTTACTTTTTTCGGTAATGAAACATTTATAATACACTAAAATCTGATTAAGAGCAACAACTCATGAAGTAATTATCAGAAAACCATTAGAATTTGTTTGTTTTTATAAAGTTCTGCCCCATGCTAACGTTTTGTATACAAAACTTTTAATATCAAAACTAATATATTAAAACTTTTAATATTGTTCAAGACATAAAAATTCATTGAAAATCAATATACTTGTTCGTCTCAAGATCTTAAACTTTGTGTATCAAACTGAAGTCAATCGGATGATAACTTTAGCCTTTAGAGTGTCACAAAGTGATCAAGGGCCATAACTTTGGCAGTAATTATCGGAAATCATTGAAAATCAATAGGATTCTTTGTCTCGTGACCTTAATCACTGTGTATAAATTTAAAGTCAATCGGATATTAACTTTAGCCTCTAGAGCGTCCACAAGATTTTTTGAAGTGATCAAGGGCCATAACTCTGGCAGTAATTATCGGAAATCGTTGAAAATCAATAGGATTCGACTCATGACCTTAAACACAGAGTATGAATTTAAAGTCAATCGGATATTAAATTATGACCTCTATAGGGTCCACAAGCTAAAAACGCGATTTTACATACAATCAAGGGCCATAATTCAGTCAATTACAGTCCGATATGCGCGAATATCGAAAGGGACAGAGATCTTTGGGTTATAAACTTACATTTCAAGTTTCAACAAAATCAGATACATGCCAATATCGAAAGCAGTCGAGATCTTTTGGGGATAAACCTATATTTCAAGTTTCGTCAAAATCGGATAAGAATTGTGACCTGTAGTGGCTGTAGAGAGTTCACAAACAATTGTGGACGGACGGACAGGGGTAACGGCATAATACGTCCACATGAAAATGTGGGCATATAAAAATTGTGACCTCTATAGGGTCCACAAGCTAAAAATGTGATTTTTTTGTAGGGGCGACGACAATATGAAAATGTGGGCGTATAAAAATCACGGCTTGATGCCCGCCTCAGCTCGAATTTACACTATTCGTTCGATAGAGAGCAAACATATCTTACATCACCCAAACGGAACCCCTAATATAATGACCTCTATAATAGGGTCCACAAGCTAAAAACGCGATTTTTCGTACAATCAGGGGCCATAATTCAGGAAGTTACGGTCCAATATAGAAAGGAACTGACATCTTTGGGTTATAAACCTACATTTCAAGCTTCAACAAAATCGGATAAAAATTGTGACCTCTATAGGGTCCACAAGCTAAAAACGTGAATTTTCGTACAAATAGGGACCATAATCCATGAAGTTTCGATCCAATACAAGCCAATATCGAAAGCAGCCGAGATCTTTTGGAGATAAACCTATATTTCAAGTTTCGTCAAAATCGGATAAGAATTGTGACCTGTAGAGTGTCCACAAACAAATTGTGGACGGACGGACAGGGGCGACGACAATATACGTCCACATGAAAATGTGGGCGTATAAAAATCACGGCTTGATGCCCGCCTCAGCTCGAATTTACACTATTCGTTCGAAGGAAAGCAAACATGTCTTACATCACCCAAACGGAACCCCTATATAACTAGAACTAATAATTCCACACATAAACATAAAAATCACGGCTTGATGCCTGCCTCAGCCCGAATTTACACTATTCGTTTGAAGACAAGCAAACATATCTTACATCACCCAAACGGAACCCTTAATATAACTAGAAACTAGAACTAATAATTCCACAAATAAACATAAAAATCACGGCTTGATGCCTGCCTCAGCCCGAATTTACACTATTCGTTCAAAAGAAAGCAAACATATCTTACATCACCCGAACGGAACCCTTAATATAACTATACTCAGCCAAATTAAAAACTTGACATTGATGAATTTCAACAAATTTTTTTTCTGGTAAGTCAAATAAATTTTAAAGTGTTTCTAACGATTGTAAGTAGTAAGAAGCCTTTAATTTCATAAAATTGTAAAGTCAAGTGGATCACGTGACTTTTGAGCATATAAAGATGAAAAATATGTGCAAACACAAACTCGTGAGGTCAATCGATGCAAGTTTGCTTAAGCTGAACACGCACATGTAACTTGAACTGGAAAAACAAATTAAAATTGTTATTTTCATCTTTGTTAGAAAATGCCACGCCTTTCAAATGTAGAACGTCTACGTGCTATAGGTAGGCTCTATGCTGGTCAGTCTGTGGTCACTGTTGCAAGAGCCTTTAATTGTTCACGCCAGGCAATAATTAATCTTAGAATGAGAGTGCTTCAAACTGGAACTATTGCCGACCGCCCAAGGGCGGGAGCGCCACGTGTGACGTCACTCCAGGAAGATCAAGCAATACGATTACGTCATCTTAGAAACAGATTTGTCACTGCAACCTCCACAAGTAGAGAGATGTTTGGTGGAAGGGTAACTGCACAAACTGTTCGAAATCGCTTGCAGGCTGTTGGTCTTCGAGCTCGGAGGCCCTATAATGGACCAATATTGACACCTCTTCATCGCAGTAACCGACTTGTGTGGGCCACAAGACACATAAGATTTACTCAAAGACAGTGGAATTCGGTTGTCTTTAGTGATGAATCTCGATTCACTTTGAGATTTGCCGATAGCAGGGTCCGAGTGTACCGCAGACGAGGTGAACGTTAAGCTCAAGTATGCGTCAGAGAAGTTGACCGATTTGGTGGCGGCAGCGTCATGGTTTGGGGTTCTTTTTGTGCACATGGACGTTTTCCTCTTGTTGTTGTCCA